TCGAGTCACGTGCTTGATGCACTTTTCAGCTATGTAGTCGATTTCCTCGATGGTGGTAAACCGTCCGATGCCAAAGCGAATCGAGCTGTGAGCCAGATCTTCGTCGGCACCAATCGCACGCAGCACATACGACGGTTCCAGCGAAGCCGAAGTGCAAGTCGACCCACTCGAGAGGGCAACGTCTTTCAGCGCCATCAACAGCGATTCACCCTCAACGTATGCAAACGACAGATTGATACATCCGGGATAAGAATGAACTGGATCGCCATTGCGGATGACTTTCGGTAGCGATGCGAAGATTTGGTCCATCAGGCGTTTCGAGAGGAACTCCATCCATTTGTGATCGTACTCCATTTCACGGCTAGCGATTTCACAGGCTTCCCCCAATCCAACGACCAGTGGAGTCGGAACGGTTCCACTTCGAATGCCACGCTCCTGGCCACCTCCGCTCTGAATGGCTTCCACACGAACTCGAGGACGAATGCGAGTTGAATGCGAGAGGCTCCCAAACATACAAACTTTGCTCTTTCATTATCACGACGTTCTTATGCATAATCTAGTGTGACGTAACGTTGGATCATGCGTAAGAACACCGTGAGAACGAAGGAGTCGACTACATTCTTTCTGCCGCACCTATAGTACCGCACACGGTTCCCGCGCTGACTGTTCCTTACTTTCTCACTCTAATCAAAATTTCCTTCGATGAGTGAGAAAACAGCACCCCGTCAACGCGAGTGAGAACGCGAGTTGCCAGATCATTGCACACAAAACCAACTTGAATTAATTCAAATCAAAAATACTAGCGAACCTGGCGGTGAGCGGCGGAAAGTGGCATAAAATTCTATTACAGAGAACCACCTTATTTTAATTAATTTCTTCGGAGAAAGTCGTCTGTAACTTCGTTTGTGCTATTAGTGTAGTGCCATTAATTTTCGTTTCGTGTGGAAAACCTGGAATTGGGTTGTATACACAGCAAAAAAAATGTAATATCGATCAACGTAATTCAAGCTGATGTATGAAATAATGATGTAATAGCAAAAAGCAGATACAATATTACATCAATAGATGTAATTTTGTTCGCAAAATCGATGTACATCGTACAACGTAATTAAAAATCGATGTACATCGTACAACGTAATTAATATTAATATTACACAACCGATGGAATGACCTCTGTGCAGCTGTTTGGATGTAATATTCAACAACTTTTTTTTCTGTGTAGGTTCGAAAAACAAACAAATTTTTATACATCATCTGAACCTCGATCTGAACGAGCTTCGTTTTTTTAGCACAAATGTATTTTTATTGTTCCCATAGACATTCATCTCGATTTGTAAACCAAGATACGAATTTGTGTTGAATAACTCTGTCGACATCAAAGCAGCCGGACATACTTGATCGGTATTTAATCCGAGGATAATACCGATTGGAGCTTACCGCCATAAGTGATTTAATGAATTCGCTGATTGCGACTCTCTGAAAACTAAATGCACAGGTTTAATACGTCAAACTCATCCTTTGCAACGTCCTCTTGTAACTTGAAAATACAAAATGTCATAATAACGTATAATGACTTCATAATTCCGAAAAAACATGTTTCCGGGCGGAATAAGTTTCATCAAGCCTTATGATGATACACAATATGGGTCACAAGTTTATATAAAATTTAAAGTGTGGTTCGCAATCAGGGAAAGACTGAGATTTAAGAAAGTTCAGTTATAATGTAAATTTTTCATAAATAATGCCAATTTAGAATTCTGTGCTCTAGGACTTTGTTTACCCCCCTGACGATAATAGGTTAAGGTATTGCCGAAGCCAACATATCCCCTATCTAATAACTATTTCTTCGAACTTTTAAGCAGTTTGGATAACAATTTGGCAAACGTATAAGATACTTACTTTACTTTTGCTGGTCCGACGTCCCTCAAGATTTGACCTGTATAACAAAGTTGCGCCAACTAACTCGGTCCCTGACTGCTTGTCTCCAATTTCTCGAGCATCCCACACTTCCTACATCTTGCTCCACTTGGTCTAACCACCTAGCACGCTGTACTTTTCTGCGTCTTGTACCGGCCGGATTTGAGGAAAACACCATTTTTGCGGGATTGTTGTCCGGCATTCCTAAGCACGCGTCGTTCGAAAACTCCCAGTGTTCCTCGAGCATTGTACATTGTCATATTTTTCATGCACAATAATTTTGTTTATTATATATTTGCAGTTCGTCAATTAGGTAGAAGACTGGTAGCCCAAAACTTTCCGCATTTGTGGATCATCCCGATCCACGTCCAAAGTGTCATGCATTATTGACAAATTGGCACAGCGGGTCGATTTAAAGGGAGATCTGGAGGCGCAGCGATCTTATTGTCATGATTGTCTGGTAGTTCACTCAAAAATGCTATAACAATCGCCAAGCTCGCTGTAATGTCACCAAGTGCCTCGTCACCCATGAATAGGCGTCTATGTCAGTGGTCTAACAACTCTTAGCGCGCTAATGGCATAGTTCCCCTGCCGCATAGAGAGTTGCCACAATGATATTAGGTTAGCTAAGGTCAGTTAACTGACTGGTGGGAAACGGGAGCTTAAGCAATGGCTATTCTGTATGCATTTAAGAGATAGTCTACCAGAATGGATGATTTTTTTTTGTACTATTTTATGTTTTCTGATGGTTTCGGTTATGCAAAACATGAGAATTAACTTTTCCAATGCTTCCAATTGTACAAAGCATTAGAGCTAGAAACATGATCTTGTAAACACTACACACCTTAACTGGTAGTTTGCTAAAAAAATGCTACAACAATCGTCAAGCTCGCTGTAATGTCACCAAGTGCCTCGTCACCTACAAATTGGCGCCTATGTCAGTGGTCTAATAACTCTTAGCGCGCTAATGGCATAGTTCCCCTGCCGCATAGAGAGTTGCCGCAATGATATTTGGTTAGCTAAGGTCAGTTATCTGACTGGTGGGAAACGGGAGCTTCAGCATTGACTATTATGTACGCATTTTTATGATGTTATCTAACAACAATGGTGTGTAGTGTTTACACGATCATGTTTCTAATTCTAATGTGTTGTAAATATAATTGAAAGCATTTGAAAAGTAAGATTCTAGTGTTTTGTATATCTAAAAACATTAGTAAACATCTACATTTGAAAACATTCAAACAACGTTTACTTTAAACGTTTTGTACATCTGAAAACATCAGAGAACAACAAACACGAAGTACAATTGAAAACATCCGAACAACGTTTAGTTGTTACGTTGTGTACATCCGAAAACATCCAAAAAACGTTTGGTTCTAGCAACGGGAAACATCTACGTTAGAAAACATCAGAATACATTTACATATAAAAACATCCGATCAACGTTTAGTTCTAACGTTTTTTACATCCGAAAACAACCGAAAAACGTTTGGTTCTAACATCAGGAAACATCTACATTAGAAAACATCAGAATACATTTACATATAAAAAACATCCGAACAACGTTTAGTTCTAACGTTATGTACATCCGAAAACATCCAAAAACGTTTGGTTCTAACATCAGGAAACATCTACATTAGAAAACATCAGAAAACGTTTACATTTAAAAACATCCGAACAACGTTTAGTTCTAACGTTTTTTACATCTCTGAAAACATCCTTAAAACGTTTGGTTCTAATGTCAAAAGATTGAAATTTTTGACGTCAGACCGACATTAGAATGGCAAAATTTTGTTCCAAAATTTCTGATGTATACACCATGTTACGTTGCTTAAATACAACTAAATCATAATGTTTTCTAATGTTTGACATCAGGCATACATTTGATTTCGATGCTGATGTAGACATCAAAATTAAACGTTGGGCTAATGTAAATTTCTATTCGGGATACTAAAGTGGTGAGCCAATTTAAAATCGTTAGTTTCGTATTGATTGTTGGTATTAGTGTGATGAGATCAAATTTGTTCGAGAAAAATCTCTTTTTTTTTTTATTGTTAAGATGCTTAACAACTCCCCTCTTTTACTGTAAATTTCTCAAAAACGATGATTTTTTATTGTTGTGAACCATGAATTTCGTTTTGATTTTATGGTAATGGACAAAAATGTCCAATGTTTTGACAATAAATATCATGGTTACAATGACAATGAAAATCATTGTATTTTTATTGAACTTTTTTTTTTACGGGCGATAAAGCCATAGTCTGTGGGGTATAAAACAAACTACACGGTGTTTCGCGAAAACCCATTGATGGGTATAAAAATACCCATTTCCGCTAAAAGTGCCCCTCCTCATTTAATGGGTAAACTATGGTTTACTCATAAATGGGTAAATGGGTGGTCTGTCAATAAATGGGTGTTTTTTCACCCATTTTCTTATATTGTGTTTACCGTAAAATGGGTGAAAAATACCCATTTTTACAAATGGAGAATGCAAGCGCTCGTTGATGTAAAAATGTTTCTAAAACATTGAAAATAAATGCAGGTGTTCCGCTCAAATTTTTCACGAAACATTATAATACAAATTATCAATTGTATTGACTTATCCGTAAGCCTCTCCAACGTTTTTGATTCTAACATTTTCCGGAGATCGTCTATTTTTGCCAAATATACTGCGGACAGTTAAGTAACTGTTTGCATTGAGGTTTGCATTCCCAACGAGCCGGTGACGGAAATGAGACGATAAAATTTCGAAGTGTTTTTTTCACCCATTAATGGGTAAAAAATATACCCATTATTCAGCCGTGAACTGATTCTTTAAATGGGTATTTTTTCACCCATTTTATGATTTCAAAATTCCCCCATTTTTTGACAGCTGCATACATGGTTTGAAAATGGGTATTTTTTTACCCATTAATGGGTTTTCACGAAACACCGTGTAGTAAAAAGTAAAGTCCTGCAGAGCTTTAGTAAAAAGGTCATTCAGCAGTGAAAAGGTTTGGAGTCGAGCTATATGGGTGTAATCAAGCAATTCGCTACCAACCTTTTAAAAGAGAAGCGAAAAATAATGACAGCAAGGGAGTAATCTCAGGAGTAATTTAATGATGGCCTCTTCGGTAGTGGATAAAATACAGTCTTGTTGTATCAGTTAAGGTGTGTTCGCAAATATAGTTCAGTCAACACTAGTTTTTGAAGGCTAGCTCATGATATTTGGCTAATATCTGTCATGTGATAAATGATATGTGCTTTCTATTTCTGTCACAAATTAGATATGTTACATGAAGTTTCATCGATAGGGACTTGTCTTATAATATAAATATTGCTAAAATTGAGTGTCACTGATCGCAAACAGAAAAATGTGGAACATGATGTGTGATGTTATGCCCACAATCTCGGAGGATAGCATCTCGCAGAGATCATCCCAATTCAGCGGCGAAGATGCAAACTTTGAACAGCTCATGGTATCGATGCTGGATGAACGAGATAAGCTGATGGACAGTCTCAGAGAAGCACAAGAGAGACTTGGAGAGACGGAAAACAAATTACAAGACATCGAAAAGGAAAGAGACAGTCTACATAGACAAATAGCTGCTAATTTACCTCAGGTTAGATTATAATTTTATTCAAATGTTCAATGAACAACCCACACAGTAGTGATTGTTGTTACAGAATTATGTCATGATCAGTTTACATTATAAACTATGCGTGATAGTGGTTGACCTGCCAAAAGTAGTGTTGATTGTCTACCGGCAAATAGATCAATATATTAAAGCAGATTTTGAAAATCAATAATAAACACAACTTAGCGATAAATCTAAAAAAAAGAGTTGTTCAATAGAGGTATAGAAGAAGAATAGAACTATTCTGATAAGGAAATATGTCTGGTACAAATCTGTCAAACTAAGATGTTTTACTAGTGTTTATATCAATACAAGCAAGCAAATATGCTCCATACATCGACACCAGCGCTATTCTCCCTCTATAGTATTGGCTCTATTAGTTTTCAACGTTAATAACTAGTTCACATTGCGTGAGTTTTCAAGAGAAGGATGTGACCACATTCACATTACTGTTAAATAAACAGCACTCTTACACTAACAAAATTCCACACATTTTTATTGACGAATTTCCATGTGAAATTCCACATGATTTTCATCTGACCAAACATAAACTGAATCCACCCAGAAGCACACATGAAATATATGAGTCAAATGAATAGTATGTGTGGTTACACATGGCTTTTATGTGTACACATATTAAGTATGTGTTCGACACATAGATATCATTTGTAGATCACATTGCAAAAAATCATGTGTGGGACACATAAATACAATATTTGAAACTTTTATTAGTGTAGCTATTCTTTTTTGCTTATGGTTTGTTATTGTTTTCGCAACGGATTACCGGACGGATGCAATGTGCGTGGGCCTTTTGGAGCCAAATGTATGCAAGGTAGGCGACGATTATTTGTTTGTGATAGGCACATGCCTGTCTTTAAAATGTTATGTGGTAAGAAAGAAGTAGGTCCAATTTTTACTTACTTTTTAATTGCTTGTTTGCCCATATTTTCATGAAAAATTTATAGAAAAATTACCTAAACATAAGTATAAAAGTAGGACCAGTGACTAAGTACATGAAAATTAAAAGTTTAGTTAAAAAATTTAGCGTAACTAATGACATAACATTCCAGTATAGAAGATGTGTATTTTTTTTTTAATCAAACGTATCATTCTCCGAGTTTAAAAAAAATTTCGGTCTTGGAACACGATTCTACGTTTTTTGATTGACGAATAAATAAATAAAATTTTGCTTACGTTCCACTTATAGTGGTAAGGTCCAACCGGTATTATTCTCAGATTAAATCACGAATGTCGGGCTATCTTGTTGTCGATGTCGATGTTGAACAATACGAGCCTCACAAACATTTGACTGATCCTCCAATCAGGGCCGGTATTCAAAGTTAATGCGAGTTAGAGGTTACCGTGAATAATGGTGGTAAGCTCCAACCGGTATTATCCTCGGATTAAATTCCAATCAAGAATGTCCGGCTGGTTGATGTCGACATCAGAGTTAATCAACACGACTCTATGAAGGACGGACAACCCGCAGGTAGGCGGAACCCGAGTAATAACGGAGGTTTTCGATAAGCTAAATAAAGTCGCGACCGAACTCAAGCGAAATGTGTTTATTTACATATATTCATAAGTACAGTGTGCAAAAAAAAAGAAAAAGATAGCACTCAAGATGCATTGCGACAAAGGTGGTACAAATTCATTTTCTCCGTAGTTCCCTTTTGTAGCAAGGTGTATCATACTCCATCATTCCTCCTGGATGAACACCGAGTCTAGGGTTTCAGTCCGACTTGATAAATGAACTTCTACAATCTCGCTTGGTTAGTGCATCAGCGACCATTTCGTTGGTCCGACAGTACACCAACTTGATATGACTTTCTGTTCAGACAGATCTCGTGTGTAGTGCTTCTTGGTGTCAATGTGTTTAACACGACCACTAGTTCTATCCGACGTCTCAAAACCTCGAATATGATCGTTGATTGTTCTTCGGGTATAGCCAGCTCTGATAATAGCCGCCTTAGCCAAACGGTTTCCTGGCAAGCTAGCGATAGAGCATTGTACTCGGCCTCAAGGGATGAAAGAGCCACAGAACTTTGACCCTTGCTCGCCTAGCCGCTTCCATAGAAAAAGATAAACCCGGTCGTAGACTTTATTGTCCGGCAATCTCCGGCCCAGTCAGAATCGGAGAAGACTTTGAGACACCATCCTTTACCTGTTCCGAATTTCAATCGCCAATCTCTCGTTGTGCTCAAATATTGCAGCACACGTTTCGCTGCACTGCAATCCTTACAACATGGTTCGCTGACTTTTCTCCCAAGCAATCTGACGCTCAAATACTAATCAGGTTGCGCGTTAACGGCCAAGTATAACAACACTCCTACGAGGCTTCGGTACAGCTTTGGATCATCCAACCGCTTAATGTCTTCGTTAGCTGACGTGTATCCAGGATCCATTGGAGTCTTGGATTGCCGACAGTTCTCCATGTTTTACTTACAAAGCAATGTTTCGATGTACGCTGACAACTTTAACGTGTAGAAGCATCCCTCTCTCCCAATCTCAAAGCTCAAAAAATGACGCACGGAGCCTAGCGAAGTAAGGTCGAATTTCTTGCGGAGACTATCATATACCTTGGCTATATCGGACTCACTTGCGCTGCCAATCAACAGGTCGTCAACGTAGACTAAAATGACGACAAACGGCTTCTCATATCGTATGTAGCGACATGGGTCTGCGGCGCTTGACTTGAACTTTAGCTCGGGGAGTACAGAGTGTAATGCTTTGTTCCAGCACCTTGCGGACTGGCGCAGCCCGTATATACTTTTACGAAGTCTACATACCTTTTGCTCGTGCCCCGGAACTGCAAAACCTGGAGGTTGCTGCATATACAGCTCTTCTTCGACGGTCCAGTTTAGGTAGGTCGTTCGAACATCGTACTGCTTCAGAAACAGCTGCTTCTTCCCTGCAACGGCAAACAGTGCACGCAACGTAGCTTGCCGCGTGACTGGTGCCTGCACCTCCGTGAAATCCACATTGAAACACTGTGAATATCCTTGTGCGACAATAGCGGCCTTACGCTTCACTATGCTGCCCGTCTCATCCCGCTTTAGTTTGAAATCCCATTTTGCACCAATAGCCTTCTTGCCCGGTGACAGATCCGATATTTCCCACGTACTGTTCACTTTGTGCGCTTCAATTTCTTCCCGCACACTCAATGCATCACGAAAGTCGCTTGGTTCTTCGCCATGTAGCACTTCTCCAACAATAAAGTCCTCATACCTGCTTGGTAACACAACACGCGTACGCTTATATTGGCGGTCCAACAATGATCCATCTGGCACTTCCAGTTCATCACGCAGTTCTTCAAAGCCAGGAAAGTCATTTTCAACCGTATCTTTTGCATCTATATACACCGATTGACGCTCTTCTTCCTGCGTCTTTCTATCTTCACTCTCCGTCACTGGATTATCCGGATCACTCCACTCATCTAGCTGCATATCCGGAAGCACTCTTGCTTCCTCGCGCTGCTCCGATCCTTTCGGGAATTCCAGAAACTCAGCATCTCGACTAACGACTATACGGTTGGTTTCGACATCAAGATGGCGATGGCAGCCTGAATAGCCCACGAGCACAAACCTCTTCGATCAAGGATCAAACTTCTTGCGGTTGGCGTCTGGTATATGAACATACGCTTCACATCCCAAGATTCAGAGATCCGTCAAGTTTGGTTTGTTGCCTGTCCACAACTCAAATGGCGTCCTATCAACAGCTCACCGAGTTCCACCCCTGCATTGTCGAGGCGCTCATATAAACACTCAATTTCATCGAGATGTTTCTCGACATCACCACCCTCGTACAAATTCTTTGAGCATAACTGCTGTAACAACATTGCCTGGCTACCGATGGTGGCCTTTTCATGGTACACTCGCAAATTTTCCCACATCTGGTGAGCCGTTTCACATTTCTTTACAAAGCGGAGTTGACTGTCCTCGACGAATAGAGCGATGGTAGCTCGCACTTTGATTTCATTTTTCTTCCACTGTGGAAATTCGTCATCGATCTCTTCCGGCTTCGGTTGACCGATCGTATCCAAATCCTCACATTACAGCAAAGATCGCATGCGGAACTTCCAAGAGGCATAATTTCCACTGCCGAGCTTAGCAAACGATGCTTTCCAGCCGTCGACCATATTGTCTTTTCACTTCCGCACTAGGTATCGTGCTGCAACAAATCTCTTCAGAAAGCATACACAGAAACTTCCTGGAATACCAGAACTCCACCGAAACACTTCACTACTTTACACTCTCGGATGACTGGGTCCATAACCTGAAGGACGGACAACCAGCAGGTAGGCTGAACCGGAGTAATAACGGAGGTTTTCGATAAGCTAAATAAAGACGCGACCGAACCAAAGAAGAATACTAAGATGAAATCAGTCTTGGGAAAACACCCACCGGCACTACGAGCCGTGCAAGAATATTGCTCCCCGTTCAAAGCTAACACGCACTCGGTTTCGGTACCTCCTGTCGGCTCGCCACCGATACGAACACGAAACCTGAACGCGGAGCCGGTTTATTCAGCTTGGTGCCGTGCTATGGTTATTCGGTGCGGCTCCGTGCCAGGGTTCGGTGCCAGACAGAATACCGTGCTTCTTTTTCTTCTTTTTCCATTATCGCAGTCTACCTGTAGCTAATTTTTTTTTTCATTTCTTTTCTGATTGACCTTTCCGGCGATACTGTACCTCTTTACTCCTATGGGGAAACCCCACAAACAACTGTAATTCTATGCGTGAAGCATGGCAGGCTGTTCCGTACTCTGTTGCTCAAATGAAAAATATCAAAGGGGCTGTTCATTAACTACGTATACAGTCTTTTGGGATTCTTGACCCCCCTGAAATTTTAAAATTTGTATGGACCGGTTCTTGTTCACCCAGGTCGAAAGAATCGGTATTAGCCTGTGTGTCCATCTACCGTTCTTTGCTGCATCCCACTCCTGCTACCACTTAGCTATCGACACCGTTCTCACCATTTTTCGTA